CTTCTGTGGTGCCTTCGAACGCCCTCAATCGTCCCTTGGACAAAGCTCTCGAGGAAAAAATACTCCGCGGTGAGTACGTTGATTTCTCTTTGCTTATGCCAGAAACACTTTACCAGACCCAGACCCCCGCCCTACAATTGCATTATGAGGACTCGCCCCCAGGCTACTTGGGCTCCCCACTTACTGTTGTCAAACGCAAGAAACCAGTCGTAGACTCTTTCCAAAAGTGGTTGGACGCGTTTATGGCATATATGCTAGTAATCGTCACGGCCTACCCCAACCGGGCGGTGGAGCTCATCAAGTATCAGCAAATAATTAGCCGCGCAGTAACTAAGTTCAAGGGCTTAGCGTGGTACACATACAATGAGCATTTTCGACGCCGCGCGGCTCGCGATCTCACCATCGCATGGGATAAGATAGATGTTGAACTTTGGACGGTGACCTTTACGGGTACCGCTGAGCCCCATTGTTCTATATGCTCTAGCCCCTACCACCAATCCGATGACTGCCCCCACCAAGAACCCAGCAAAAAGCCTCGGCGGACTGCCCTTGTTTGCTTTGATTTCAACAAACCCTCAGGGTGTCAGCGTCGTACCTTTCACTTCCCTCACAATTGCCACCGCTGTGGATCCAGCAGTCACGCACTCTTCAATTGCCCCAGCTCCAAACAGCATGCCACATGCACCAAATCAGCAACCCCGGGCGATCGCAGCAAAGAATAAAGTGGAACAGCGCCAGCAGAAGCAGAGACCAACAGTATCCACCCCTCTTGATGTAGATAAATTAGCGCTTAAATTAGTTAATCACCCAATCGATCTTTTGTTGATAACTTAGTTAATGCCCTCAGGTACGGGACTCACATCGGTTACCTTGGTCCTAAAAAATTCCAGGTATCCAATAACTTGATCTCCGCTTCCCAACACCCCAGGGTTATCTCCACGAATTTCAGCAAGGAAATGTCGTTGGGTAGGGTCGCGGGCCCCTTTTTCTCGCCCCCACACCCCAATTTCCAGTGCCACCCTATCGGCGTGGTGCGAAAAAAGCACTCTACGGAATGGCGCACTATCTATCACCTATCCTATCCCCCGGGTGACAGTGTAAATGATCATATTCCACAGGACCCTTACTCTCTTCAGTATGTACGGGTAGACGACGCAATAAGCATTTTGAAGTCCTTGGGTCCCGGGGCGTACATGGCTAAAACCGACCTTAAATCGGCATTCTGTATTATGCCTGTTCACCCGGATGACTGGAACCTGTTGGGTATTTATTGGCAATCACGTTACTATGTAGATCTGCACCTCCCAATTGAGCTCTGCAGTTCACCCTTCCTCTTTAATCAAATTTCTGAGGCCTTACAATGGATCTTAAAACACAACTACAGCCTGGGTCATGTTTTACACATCCTGGATGACTTCTTTATCGCAGAGTCTTCTAAGCTGGCCTGCTTGGAGAACTTTAGTACCCTTCTCTTAAAGTGTTCATGTCCCTTCGGGTACCAATAGTAGCAGCCAAAACCCTGGGCCCCTCCCAAGTCTTGGAATTTATGGGGATTGTGCTTGATAGTACCCGCATGGAACCTAGGTTGCCGGAAGATAAGCTAGCTCGGATTAGTAAGCTCCTTGATTCCTTTAGTGCCCACCGCGCAGCCCGTCTAGTGGACCTCCAGTCCCTTATCGGCACCTTGCAATTTGCCTGTAAAGTAGTGGTCCCCGGGCGAACCTTTCTGCAACGCATGATCAATCTCACCACGGGTGTTCCCAGCCGTTTTTACCATATCCGCTTAAACAAGCAATTCCAATGGGATATTACCATGTGGAAAGTTTTTCTCACCCAATGGAACGGGCGGTCCTTCTTCCTTGATTCCTTTGTTACCTCCTCCCCTGACCTTGAATTGTAAACAGATGCAGATGGTTCCAAGGGCACTGCCCGCCGCACCTTCTTATCAACAAGAAGACGGGGATCAGCCTGAATGGCAAGAACTTTTCCCTATTGTTATCACTTGCGCCCTCTGGTACCCCCATTGTGCGGGTAAACGCCTTCAATTTTGGTGCGACAATGAAAGCGTTGTGGCTATTATCAACTCTGTCCACTCAAAAGCTCCCCGGGTGATGGACCTGGTCCGTTTTTTGGTTCTCATTTCCATGAAACACAACTTCTTGGTACGGGCCCGCCATGTTCCGGGGGTAAATAACGGAATTGCTGACGCCCTCTCACGTTTCCAGGTCAAACGCTTTGGGGATCTCACACCCAATGCTGACCGGACCCCTTGTTTCATCCCTCCTTCATTCATGACCCTCTGAAGGATGAAGTTTTAAGGTATGCTAACTGGGCCTTATCATGGAACACCAAACGCACCTATACATCTGGAGAAAAGCGTTTTATCTCATTTTGCCTTATGAACAGACCTACATCTCCAACAGGGGATATTTTACCTGCGTGGGAGGGGACACTTATCTATTTCCCATCTTATTTAGCTCGCACAGTTCGTCATTGCACAATCAAAATATACTTAGCAGCCGTCAGGAATCTACATATGGTTTCCGGTTACAATGACCCCTTACAGGGCAAGCTGCTTTTAAAAAAGATTTTAAGGGGCATTCTTCGTTACGAGGGTCGTCCTCGTATAAGTCGTCAGCCAGTCACCTTGAGAGCTGGTTGGATGTTTGGGATTCTTCTATGATCTAGGCTGCATTTACGCTAGCCTTTTTCGTTCTCTTTCGAGTTTACATACCTGAGGGTACGTAATTTTAGTTCTCAGTTTAACCTCACCACTGATTGCGTGACTTTCTCACCAAGTCTGGCTCGCCCGCAGTACATGCTTCTCAAACTTAAATCGTCTAAAACTGACAGTTTTAGACAGGGGCAATCTCTCGTGGTAGCTCGGTGCTCTTCTTTATTGTGCCCCGTTTCCGCTATGCAACGGTATTTTATGCTTGCCCAGCCTCGGCCTGGACTCCTTTTTTACTTTCAGTCGGGTCGGCTTCTCACTCAGTCTTCTGTTACGCGTTTACTTAAGGATTCTGCTCGCTGTGCGGGACTCCCATATGAGAGTCTAAAAGGTCACAGTTTTTGTATAGGCGCCGCGTCCGCTGCGGGCTTACCAGACTGGTTAATAAAAGTTTTAGGTTGTTGGTCCTCGGACTGTTATCAAAATGGCTCGTGTTTCAGGGAACTTTATTTAGTTTTTTGTTGTTGCTTGGGGGGATGCATTGCATGCATCTGGGGTGGTTAAGTCTGCGTTGCGACTTCCCCCAAGCTTTTGGCATTGCTTGTGTCTTGCCATCTTTTGAGCTATTCCTTTGCCTTAATCTTGTCCGATCCAGCCCGTGCAGCGCTGGAGAGATAAGAAAGGCTCTGCCAAGATTCTTGTCCTACCCCACGGTAGTGGGGCGATAAGTAAGGCTTGTGTTATTCTGTGCGCATAACCCGAAGTTGCTATAACCTGCCACAGCGCTGTGTCCCCCCTTATTACGCAATCATGTAGTTTTGTTAATTTAGCCTGCATGCGTCATTTACTTGCGTGACGTTTGCATGCGTATCTTACAAGCGGAATAGTGAAATTAAATAGCAGAATGATTGTTTGCGGTTATTTTATCAGATTGATTTGCTATTCATTGTGACATGATTTCTGTTTGAGCTCCTGGGAGAGAATGAAGTACATTGCCACTTGGTAATTATCTCAAATAACTACACAAAGGTGTCAAATAAAGACGGACTCTTTTCCTTCTTTTGCTTTGATCTTACCAGTTCTATGTACAAAAAGAAACTAACTTTGTAGAAAATTACATTATTAAATGAGATCATTTGTTGTAATGACCTGTCGACCTTCTTAGCACTAAAACTCAACGATTCACCACTGTGTTCTAAAGTAAAATAATTATAGTACCATAGACTTCAAGAACTATCAGTTCACCATGGTGAAGCCCTTAAAATTGCTGAAATGAATAGGTTAATGAGAAAGATTATCCCCAAACTGTATGTTCTGTGATCTGTTCTATCACTTAAAACACTTGCAGATACAGTAGCTTTTGTTTTTAGTTCCTAAAAAAGGCAAAGAATTTTCTCAGAACCATGGTGAATCGTGTAACACTCAAGCCAGAGCAACTAATGTCAACAAACTCGGTGATATTTACATAAGATCAATCATACTAAATGAATTACTTGTCTTGCGGGAGAACTAGCGGAGTAAAACATTTTCGATGCTAATTTTGTTTTCTCATCTGTATGCGAACAAAGCAGGTATATTCCATTAATGATCCAAAATTTGGCCTTGAAGTAAAACAGTTACTCTTTCCTCTATTCAGACCAAATACAATCCTCGTCAAAAATCTTGAAACACTTGCATGCGTTTTCCCTTCCCTTCCCTTAAGTAGCTTATTATGCATATGGCAATTTCATACTTTTTTTCCTACAAATAGTTTAATTTGAATAGAGTACAAACAAGTTTGCAGAATAAATGTATGGAGTTTTACAGAAAGCTTACCAGTATGAGATAGTTAAGCTTAAGCTCTCGTTTAAGCTTATTTTGGCCCGAAAATCTTCTCACGCCTCATGAAGTATTTCACACCTTCGCTAGTCATCAGTGACGGCTTTATTAAAAATTACACACGTTTTGTGATTGAATGTAAAATTACCTACTTTTGAATGTAAACTCAAACAAGGCAACAAGGACAAACAAGTGCTGAAGGAGCAGCGAATCAGGAGCACAAAGAATACAGGAAGTATACAGTGCAAAAAAAGTTCCTTCTTACTCTCAAGTCATTACAGTCAAGCCAGGTCAAGTGTAGCCCCAAGATTGCATCAAATGAATTTACTATTGGAAAGTTCAATCAGTTGATAGTTTTAAATTTTAGTTCAAAAAGGCACATTCCAGCATATGTAGTGAGCAATGAAATTTACTTTCTAGGTAGTTTTTTTAAATTTCTGCCAGTTCAGTTTTTTTGAAATTGTTGTAAATGCCTTTTGATGGTCTCACTCATAATTTTTGTTTGTTACAGAAACGACTAAAGAGACAAAAGGCACTTCTACAATCTATATCCATTCCAACCGAGGAGAAGAGCAGGTTTAAAGATTGTTTAAGTGTAGAGTATATGTCTTCAGAACATTCTGTCTCTGAAGACAATTTAGATCAAGAAAACAGTTCTGAGGATGAGAATTTCCCCAGGAAAAGGGTGCTATGTAGGAAGCCTCTACCTTGGAGAAGCCAAGAACTTAACAACTTATTTCTAAAGCTGGACCGGAAAGCAAACCGGAAACAGTCTCAAAGAAGTTCCTCAATGACCATAGACAGGAGGGATGGCTCCCCCTCAGAGAGAAAGGCACCAGATGATGCCCCTGAATTTGCTCTTTCGTAAGGAAATGAAAGTTATTCTAAAGCTCTTGAAAAACTCCCTTGTTATTCATGACAGTGATACTTACAGATACGCGTAACTCTGCAAATATAACTGCCCTTTATCCATCTCAGCCTATGGTGCTTTTTTGACCAAATGTCAGCCTGAGTGTTCTTAATCCACTTGTTCTTTTATGCAGGTTTTTACTGTACCTCTAACACAATATTGATTACATACTTATTTTGGGGCCAACAACAGTGACGACGGTTATGTTGAGATGCTTTGAAACACTTACAGCCAGTCATATCTCTTAATGATCCTCAATTTCCTTACAACAGGGCCAGTACAGACTGTTCCCTACACATACACAAAAAATGAAATGAAATGATTTCATTAACTGATTTGCTTTGACTGTAATTTCCCTTTCTTTAAAAATGACGAAAAAAAAAACTTTTTAATATGCCAGAGTTACAGTGGCAGATCCAGGGAAGGGGCCTGGGGGGTCCACCGCCCTTATTTTTGGACCAAACTGTGGCCCGATGGGAAAAAATTTTTTTTTTGAAGACGGGCCCTCCTCCCTTATCTCAGGGTCTGGATGACTGCCCCCCCTTCCCTTATCTGACGGTCTGGATCCGCCACTGTGTTATACCATTACAAATCATAAATTGGTGGTAATCATAAGCCCCTTTACAGAGGCCAACGTTAAAACGTTACCGGAATTATAAATTTTGTTTCTTAAAAAAGTGATAATTATATTATTTTGTACTACGTAAAACGTCTTTTTTAGGGTTCCAAGTAGATTGAAGGGGATTTTGTCATGGGATATAACAGTTTTAGTGAATACAAGTCTCGTCCATAAATAACTATTGTTTGGAAGAACGAAATGATGGCACAACACTCTGAAACGAGTCTTTAGAATATCTTAGATACGGAACACTTTTCTTGATATCTAATATTAGTTAGTATTGATCTGATACGTACTTATATAAATATATATATATTAACATAATAAGGTTGTAATTTGTTCTGGTTTCAGAAAATGAAAAGATGTCCGAGCTAACTTTGGTTTATGGAATAAATCACTTGAACAGAATTTAATGTTTGGTCACTACTAGTGGTATTCTCCTCAATAATGTTAAAGTTTGAAGGCATATACTTGTTAAGAACTCAGACAATATAATGACATTATTTGTTGTCCATTTACTAGGACCCAATGAAACGTATTCAAACAAGGGACGTTAAATATTATTTGCTACCTGAGCAAACCATGCTCTAATTTAAGAGTTTAAAGACATTTGCTAACCCAAGCAAAGTTCCAACTTTGACTATATTTGCTCCCTGAGCAAAAAACTGTACAAAAATAAGAGTTTGATCAGATGCACTGCCCGAGCAAACTTGTTTAAAACTTGTATTTTGACCACATTTGCCGCTCCAAGCAAACTTTCTCGAATTTAGAGTTTGATCAAATTTGCAACCCCTAGAAAAGTTGGTCAAAGTTGTGGTTTTTCTAGCATTGGCTCCATGAGCAAACATGTTTAATGCTAAAAGTTTGGTAACAGTTTCTATAGAAACAATCCAATTCGATGATAACCATTTGATCATCCTTACCACCCCAAACAAACATTATTCAGATGTAATACTTTGCTCACATTTGCAACGTTGTGTAAAATTCCTAAAAAAATAACAGGTTTACATGCTTTTACAACCGGGGCAAAGCTGCACAAAACAGGAGATTTGCCCACATATTTGCATAGTATGCAAAGACAGTTCGAAGGAAAAAATTTGCGTACACATTTGAACCTTCTGTAAAAGATCCTTAAATTCATGACCACACATTATCTTGGCACAAAGATGTAAATCTTTCGCAAATGTAACATTTACCGTCATTGCTACGGATAGCAAATCTAGTGCAATATCAGTCTTTGCTCTTGAGCAAAATTGGGCAAAACTGTGCAAGTCTGGTATTTGCTACACCTTTGCTGTAGTTTGGTTACCCGTGCAAATCCATTTTTTCCTCCAGTGCATGATAGCATTTGAAAAGCAACTATATCTGACGTAAAGAGCAGAACATTAGGACATGCTCATAACAGCCTCCTTGAAGCCAATTATAATGACAATACTATAGACTAGTCTCATACATAAATTACATCATGCAGTGCAAAAAAAAGCCTGTGCTAGCCTGTGTACAGTCAGTACACAGTTGCAGTATGCTTTGTTTCCGAGTAAGTAAAGGCAGTGGAGCAGCACATCAGCTACCCATTTGATTCCATACTTAACCTGATAAAATAGAATTTCGTATTACTGAAAATGACACAAATAGAAATATTCATTTCTTTGCTTGTATTCCAGGACGTCTCTCCACCATCGGGTGAAAGATCTCCAAAGGGGCATAACCCATGGCTGGAGAAATTTACTATACCAAACCAGGTACGGTGGTTTTGCAACTCAGAAAACTGCAAACACCTCTAGCTGAAATATCTCAGAAATGTTGAATAAGGATTGACCAAACAGCACCTGCAAACCGCAAACCCTAAACCTAACTCTCGTGTATTTAATGATTTAGCTTAGTGAGCTTGCGGCTGAGTATAGTGTGATTTTAATTCGCATTTGATGTCACTGCCTCAAAAGACTGTTAAAAGAAATAAATTGGTCCATTCCAATTGTTAAAAGTTGAAAACCTTTACAAAATGGCTGCACTACCATATTTGTTGGCTGATAAACGAAGAGGGACACAGATTACTGCCAGTTTCTTTTGGAAGAGAGCAAAGGTGAGTTAACAGCAAAGTCACAGTGAGGATCCTTCACGTAAACAGACTTAAAGAACGTCTACGTTTACCCCTTAAAGACATAATTTATGACCGAGTGTACCTGTTATTTGATAATAGCACTTATTTTTTCTTGTTCCCTACATTCACATGTTGGAAATGAAGATGAAAGAGTGGCAGAGCTGACTAAGAAATCAACATCCCCCACGCCCATTACCACTGGGGAGTAAAAGAATATAGATGAACTTTACTTGGTCTCTGAAGCCATGGTAGCGTGCCGGTTTAATCCACCAAAACATCCTAAATGCAGTAGCTACCCTACTGGGTAGTTTTGACTGCCATAATATGGTATTTCTTAAAGGTTCTGGTGGGGCTAGAGAAAAAATTGTTGCTGGTTTTAGAGCACACACTCTTAGGTTATACAAGTGCAAGTCTGCCATTGTCTGTGGAAAATGTTTTGTCTGACTTGCAGATGGTGAAGACTTAACTCTTCCTAGATATTACTTATATGTTGCACTGAATATCCACGTTAATTCTAAATCTTCTAATCTGTATGTATTCAACAAAGCATTTTCTGTGACAATGCATTTTTCTTAAGTGTTCATCTGATTGCATTAAATCAGATTTCCCAACTGATTCTAGACTTTCTTGATTTACTTCTACTTAAGGGGGTTCTGCCTAAAAAAAACCTTTTGTACAATTTACCCATGTTTCAGTCTTTTGACAGAGATGCAGAATTTCAATTCAAATTTGCTACAGTTTAAGGAAGCAGGGCTGAGTGTTCAGTCATATTTCTTGTCCTGCTTTAAATTCTTGTATAAGAAACCCAAGCATTTTGTACTTGCACTGTTGTATTATAACCCTTTCTATGAAGTTGTCAACTATGTTGTTGTTATTTGGAGAGGACGGTTAACATAACCATTAAAAATATTGCTGAAGACTACTATTGTGAGGTTACTGTCATTCATTACTATCGGTTAAAACAATCTCAAGTGAAATGGTTTAAGCCACCACCTCTTGACTACTAAATGGGTTACCACAGATTCATCGCCAGTACCCAAAAAACTGGTTTACCATAACCACAAAAAATGGTTATTGTAACCAATCAGTATGGCTTGAAAATTATTTAACCTTTTATTTCAGTTACAATAACTAAGAATTTTAAGTTAGTTTAACAAAAAAGTGGAGGTTATAATAAACAATTATTAAATGTTAGCAGAAGCAGTGTTAGCTGTGGTAGAAACAATCAATTTTTAGTGTTAATGCCAGAAAGAAAAGCTCGTTCAACGGAAATAAAAATGGTTAACTGGACCTGAATGTTTGGGTTAGTGTAACCTAAAAAATACACTTTCCTGGGATTCAAGTAGTAACCGTTTTCCAGGAGTCACTATAACAGGACAGTTTTACAGTGTGACGTCAAAATATGTAATTTTACCATGGAAAAGAATAACCTTGAAGTACTTTTTAGTATTTACGACTCTAAGATTTTCCCGCCAAAAATTAACTTCCTCAAGACAAGTCTGGGTCAAATTCCGTATCCCAATCAGGTGAGGCCGCAACGGATAATGTCTCATGAGTTCAGCACAACTATACATAATTGAAGATCTAGATGGTTACCATTTGGCTAAATCAGGTGCTGGCGACAAAGAATGCGGGAGAGTTTGCAAAGGAGAAGACACAGAGTCCTTCAGACGATGAAGCTCTGGCTATGTGGGTCTACTACCACAAAAGATTTAAGGTGTTAGGAACGGTGAGTTTACAATGTGATGCTATAGAAGGGTGGTTAATAATTCGATAGATAAGTTTTCTTTCATCTATTGATGAATTAACTTACTAATAATCTTAAAAGGAAGGAAAGAAAGTGAAGAATGATCATCGCAGTAAATTTTCCAATTTAAGCAATTGGAAAGAAGAAGCCTGAAAATCAGGGCTTCAATGGGATTCGAACCCATGACCTCCGCGTTACCGGTGCGTTGCTCTACCAACTGAGCTATGAAGCCACACACTGGGAGCGAGCTCAATTTATTGAGTTCATATCTCTAGTGAGGACTGAAATGATGTAAAGTATAATGAAATATTTCATTTTTTTTTTTGAATAATCTTAAAGTTAACTTGAAGTCTGGGTAAGATGAAGACAGAGAGAGAGAGAGAGAGAGAGAGAGAGAGGAGAGGGAGAGAAAGTGAGTGATTCAGTTGTTTATCCGGGATACTTACTGTAAAAATGACGATTCATTTTCCCATTTAAACAGAGACCCTTTGTTTTAAAACATCTACTTTTGAAATAAATTTTGGTTGCCCTTTTAATAGCTCTTGTTTTTATTTTAATTACTAAAAAGGCAGTTATGATACCTGGACCTAATCTAACGGAATTTTAGCCAGAAAACAGCCATCAGGCAATTACTTATTAGAAAAGGGACAAACGCATTTATTCAATAACGCCTAAAATGGCTTGATCTGCGACAATGGACAGGTTTTCTTCTTCACTTTGATTTCTTACTTTTCGACTTAGTCATCAAAACAAAATTCACAGGCTTATTTTATCTCACAGCAACAGACTTACAAGCGCCCTCAGGAAAAACCAGCGAAATTTTCTTCCGTTGATATTAAATCACAATATGTCTTAGGAAACATGTCACTTTTTTTACTATAATTTTATCACCTGTCTGTACTTTCACTCGGTCGCATTGGCATTACTACGCACGCTTTTACCAAGTCACTTCCTTTGGCCAGTTTTGGTTAAATTAAGATGTTTGCCATTTTCCGGAGTGACCTTCAGTCAAAAATGTCAAGGTCGCCTCTCCCGTTTCTTTCTCTTCGAGAATTCCCGAATGAAATGAAGGCAAGAATCAACATGGCTTCCCCGTGCACGCAGAAAAGTGAAATTGAACTGCTAAGATACAATTAGAGATTATACTCGTTTTAAGCTAATTTTAACTGTGCTTTAGTTTGACGTCTTGCAATCTCGGGCTGAATACCGCACCAGGTGTCTTTTTTGGCTCAAATGTTTAGCTTAATTTAGCTTATGTACACATTAGACATACTTGATCCTAAACATTAACAACTGCAGTTGATTCACTCAGGTTCATTTGATTTCCTTTTCACAGGATAGCAGCAACGCAATACTTACAAATTATTTCAAAGTGGTGGTTGGTTTTTGCCATGCCTTAGCCTCCCCTGCAGACATTCTTAGGCGTGTGTCCTGTGTTCCTTCCCCACGAACGTCTGCTGATCTGAGCAGGAAATTCCTTTCCCACTGTTCGCAAATATCAGTTGGAGAGCACAAGCAAATTATTGCAGAACCAATTGACGCTAAGTTATTGTTTTGTGAAAAGCCAATCATAAGGTGTTTTAAAACAGGCCATCCGGTGGGGATCAAATTTCTGGCGAATTTATTCTGCCGCTAAATATTTTCATGTATGCAAAGTTATTCCAGATCCTTGCTTCATGTATAGCCGAAACACCGAAAAAAGTTGTGGGAAATAACTGTTTTCTCTGTAGTAGTCCTTTGATTCCTTCTGGCAGAGTACGTGTTGTTGGAAAGAGTTCTGTCTGCATCTCACGCCTCATTGAAGAAACAGTGGAAATTGATGTAAGTTTGTTTTCGTTGAGCGACCCTTTTGTTTGCAGTAACTGTTATAAATGCTTAATTCGATTTCAAAAATTAAGAAAAACCTGCAATCAGTTCAGGAAGAGATAAAAGAAGATTACAAGAAAGGGGTATTAAGAACTAAACATCTCCGCTGAGATTCTGCTGAATCGGACATTTCGATTGCAGCGTCAATCAAAAATACAATTGTGCAATGGAGTGCTGCAAAATCACTGAAATTTCAAAATTTTTCCACCACTTCTACTTCTTCTTTTGATCTCCTGGAAAAACATGGTGAAATGTCATCCGAAGGAGGTGCAGGTCATTCAGGTCAAGGGGAAAGTATCTCTTCAGTCACACAGGAAATTCCTGAAACTCCGTCAAATGGTTCGTTTACCTCACCTCCGCCTCCTTCACTTCATTTGACGTCCACACCAGTGACAGCCAACTTGAGCTTACATTCATCTCTACAAGCGCAGCCATACAGAAGTTCAGCAGTAAAACTGTCGATCTTTTATCTAAGTAAAATGGTCAACAAATGTTTAGCGTTAGAATATGAAGCGATTGAAAAACCCTCATTTACCGCCCACCGAACAGAATCGCCAATGCTGCTGTAAAATCCAAATCGCTAACTAAGTACGTGGTTCAGAGTGTCCTTCCACTTTTGTCTAATGAAGTTTGTGCTTTATGCTCCAGATCAAACCCGTCAATTTTATGATAATGCGACAGGGAAAGCCTTGTAAATTTTAGCTTTCAATCGGTTTGCCAAGAGTGGAAAAACAGAGCGTTGATCTTTTATTCTTTCTTGATGACCTGCAGCAGTGTTCAACTTACAACAGAAGAATTGTGGCTGCCATGCGTGGCAATAGCAGGATCTGTACTGCTTAGGCAGCAAAATCCTCAGATGAATGCCACCTGCCAGTGTACTTGGAGTCCTCCTTAAAACATGATCAATGGAGGTATGAATGACTATCTTAATTTGAACAGTGCACTTAGGTCAGTTTTTCTGATTTCTGGTTCTAAAAAAAAGGAAGACGAGTTCTAGGCTTAAATAAGAGTAATTAAATTGTAACGTAACCAGGAATAGCTTTATTGTGCAACCTAGTTTTTCCAAATATTTTTCTAGAAAAGTAACTTTTTACATGAAGCTTTTCACAATAACATACAAACCGACCATTTACATGTTCTTGTTTGACATAACAAAGGATAAAAGAGCTTGAATTAGAAAAGAAAGAAATACACAACATAATTATCAGCTGCGTGATTAAGCTCTTTGCTATGTATGACCTTACCTTGAATAATTAAAGTAACTTAATTAAAGGATATTTGAGAAGAGGATGACATGCTGACCCCACTGTATACAAACTAGGGTGATCTGGGAGTTAAAAAAGTGGTCTCTTTGTTTATATCCCAAGCGGAATCCTCCTCCCCCTCATACAGCTTAGCAGCAAGTTGCCCTTAAAGACCACATCTTGTCACATGTTTGTTGTTACTTGTTCATTATTAAACCACTGTTACATTTACAAAGTGTGCCAGGGGCCTTGCCGTTAATGTAGCAAGGTTCATGCCAGTTTAGAAACATTTTTTTGTCATTATTATTCTAGGGAAGTCTTGACCGCTAGGCAAAGCTTAAGATCACCTGCTCAAACAGATGTGTCTTGGCTAAACTTGATGCTCTAGGTGAGGGCTTTGATCAGCCACTTCAGAATGCCAAGGAGAAGATTACAAGTGAAAACCTGAAGACAAGAGAACTTCAAAACCAAGGTACTGCACAAGAGATGAATGAAAGGATGAAAGACCATCTTAGAAATTGCCAACCAGGGTTCACCATTGGATTTGACAACATTGACTTTGAAATCCCACGAAAAAACATCACGCTGGGAAAAGAGAACCAGGATTTACACTGGGTCAATCACCTGATGTTTGGGAACAGGGTTTTGGGAATTTGCTGTCCAATGATGCCCCAAGACAGAACTGCAAACAGTGTCAAATATGACATTCTTACCGAGCGCCAGTGACCAGCCAAGGCAGCGTTACAATTACATTGTACTTATTTCTAGAATCTTGGTGGAGTATTTTGATTCCCTCCAACCACTGAACAATGCATGCATACAGCATATGCCCCATAAGTACACCGAAGAAATGTCTAAGAAGTCTCTAAAGGTAATCAATAAGCAAATTGCATGTATCAATGAAAATGCTTGTCTTTTTTTGTTTGTTTGTTCAATTATATTTTTGAAGCAGTATATATATTATTGTACCGATTTACATTTTTTTTTTTTAATTTTTCTATTTGGTCTTTCAAACATAAAATTGTCAATTGATTGACCTGTAAATTGAAAGAATAATTTCACCATCAACTCCTGATTCTTTTAGTTTTGTATGTTATTGGGAGAAGTTTTAAAAAAAATTAATGAGATTCTTGTTCAGCCTGTGCAAATAAATAAAACTTAGTAAAGAGAAAGACCCACTCTCCTTTACAGTTTATGATTACCGGATGTGTTGAGATTTTGTGGAATAGGATATTTACTCTAAACAAATACTTTCTGTTAGGTCCATCTAGGTGTTATTTTCAAGAATGAAAACAAGAATGAAGACATGCTCTCTATCATACAACAGGTTCATACGTATCTTCCTCATTCACCTGATAATGGATGCGACTCACGACTATTCTCTGGAGATCAACTCACTGTTGAGAGGGCAGTCAACATTATCTCCTCAGTTCCTGATGGTTACACACCGAAAGATCGTTTAGACAGAATTACCTTACAACTGGGAGATTGGCACGCTGGAGTGAAGATTCTATCAGTAAGTAGAGTGCAGAGTATAGAGATAAAATATTGCCTGCACTTGTACATGGAAGCGAAACCACAGTGATTTTAAAAGGTATTGCTGCGCGGACAGCCCAGGGTGGGAGGGCAGGGCATGTACAACCCATTACATTAAATGGGTGTGTGCTGCTGAACAGAGTATGGGTTTTAGGACAAGGGTATTACACTTTCACTATTTAGCGTGTTGAATAGGAAGTGACCGTCTTGGACCAGGCGTTTTTTATGCGTGAATGTTGCCAATGAGCAGTAAATATTTGTTATCAACACAATTTTTTTCCAAACAAAATTTAATTCCATGATGTAATAATTATGTAATTATGTACTCAAATGATATTCAATGTTGCCTACAAAAATTCCTCGTTCCTCCTCTAAACGTACCTTAACACACTTATTGGGGCATGCGAATATTTTTTGCGGAACTCCACATTTATAATGTATGTATTTAAATTACAAAAAGTTGCATTTTTCCGATTAGGAAAATACTAACACAACCAAGATCCCCCTCAGAGTCGGTGATCAGTGTTAGATATATACCCAAGGCTTCGCGTCTCAGTGTATTTCCACCACTATTCACTTCCCCTTTGGATAGTTGTGTACTATTTTAGCTATTTGAAGAGTTATTGTTCAGTGAAATGCTTGAGTAGGATCGAGGTAACATGGTTGCATGCCTCATGTTAAAAAACATCAATTTTCTTTTCCACTCTACAGCTCATCGTCAAGAAGTTTTTTTCTGGCAAATCAGAGAGTGATAGCTGTACGCTGTTCTCTGACCGCACCCTGATAAATCGGAGAAATGTGAAGTCTGATCCACACACAGCATACCGTGCTGACTGGGACTTCCTGCTTATCATCGTCAAATCAAGAGTAACTGCTGCTGCAATGTCAGTACTGGGGTTTTCTGACAAAGGGAGCCAACCAACAAAGTTTCCACTTCCAGTAGACATTGCTAAGCAATCCAGAGTGTAATGATTAGAATATTTAAACAAAGCTGCCGCTTTAATTGTGGACAAATTTGTATTTAATGATGATTCTGTCAGCAGGCTTCTTGATGATATCTTGACTAATCAAGAAAGTCAAGATCAAAGAGATCAGCAGGAACGAACTGTAGATGGCAGATTCCTGTGCCGTTTTCGTGGGTGCAAAGCTTCCTTCAAGTATGATGGTGTGAAGAGAAGGACACATGAGTTGTCTCATGAGCCACTGGCAGATTAACCTAGCCAGCGAAGTTCTGAACAGTCTGCTGCTGAACCATGCAACAAACCCACAGATGATGTCTACAGTTACAATTGTGCTTTGCTAGCAGATGGCTTATTTTTCATCAATTTCTTGGATGCAGTCAAAAAGGGGGACGGCGTGAGGCTTATGCACCAGTATAAGTACATGTTGTTGTACTGCAGAGCTGATGGCCATGCCAGCAACAAGTACGCATTAGAGTGCCTTTATCAATCATTCCTCGTCCAATCTCTTCTTTCTCCTACAGAAAGTGAGAGGTTTGATTGGAATCGCAGCATTAATAATCAATGTGGGAAAGGCTGCAATATCCCTCATGACTTGGAGGTGGAGCATTCTAACCGCTTTATCAAGGGTAGTGCCAAAAACGTTGGTCCAAATTTAACTGATAGAGCAGTTCAGTGTATTTGTCAAGCGGAGAGTGGAGCAAGATCTCTGACTGGCAATGTCAACCAAGGTCTAAACAGCATCCGTGGGTCTGGAAAGCACACACATAGTTCACCAGAAAATGACGTGGATGAACTGTTAAGGCAAATTCAGCAAACAGATGTGTTTACTGAGCATCCAGGTCGATCATATCAGCACTTTAATGATTTTGAAAGAGATCCATTCAAGACACTTAACATGTCATCCTTGTATCAATGGATAACCCAACATAAGAAAAACATTATTCGTGGAAATAGGGCTTGATAATGTAAATATTGGGTTCAATTATTTTTTCTTCAATGTAAATCCTATTACCTTTTAGTATATGGAAATGTATGTTGTTTGAAACAAAGGGAACAACATTTACACCAAGTATAAAATTGAACAAAAATGTTGACATTATATATCCTATTGTTTTGTGCAGAAAGCACTTAAACAGCAACAATCCCTGTGCAGTGGTCACGCTGATATTTTATTGGTGAAGTTTGTTAATTCAATTTCCGCTGTGGTTTCAATGATATCGCAGCTTTCATCGTGCACTTAGTGTTGAAACAGCTGAGGTCACAGTTTTCTTTTGGTTTGTTTTATTGCTTGAATTGTGGTAATTTTGTGAATGTGTGGCTCCAAAAAATATCCATACCTCCCCCACAGAAGGGATTTTTCCTTAGACCCCCCAACCACTCTAGAAATTCCCATCAAGCTTCATACATTACCTTAAGATTTTAGGCCTTTGGTAGTCCCCCCCCGCCCCCCGAAATTTTCATTCCCTTCTGTGGGGAAGTATGGATATTATCTGGAACTACACAATGACATATTTTTCCAACTTATCATGTTCAAAAATATTTGGCAGAGCAAATTCCACATAACCTCAATGGTGAATGGATATATTTGTGATATGGTACAGTGCTTTAGAGAACAGAAGTTCAATTTAAGTAACAAAGTCAAATCTTCAGAGCTACCATGAAAATTACAGTGTGAGAAAATTGATTTGATCAAGTACTTCATACTACCAGATGTATTTTTTTCATCCTACCAAATTCCAGGGAAAATACCTGGCCCCAGTTGTTCAAAAGGTGGATAGCGCTATCCACCGGATAAGTCTATATCCAGTGGCTGATGCAATTAGTTTTCATATTACTTATCCATTCGATAGAGATTTATTTGGAGGATAGCGCTATCCAACGTTTGAACAACCGGGGCCAGGCCTCTAATAGCAGGGAATTTCATGTATAGTACTCTCAGGAGAATTGGAAAACAACTCCAACCACAAACCCTTTAAGACAAAACATGGGATTTTCAGCTGTTGATTTATATGGACCTGTTTGGTGTTAATGCCCCCTCCCCTTCAATTAAACTGTTTTGAGTGAATTCCAGTGTAATGGTTTCCCCCCTCTCCCTTCCCTACTGTGGTATTTTATATTAGGATAGAGGGGATTATTGCTCTTTCCTCCCCCCACCCATTGTCAATAGTTTCTCGACGTGGATAAAATAATACAGTCTAACCTCTCCTTACGGACAGCTCTCTATTACGCACGGCTCGTTTGGTCCCAGAAATGCCACAAATCATACATTCGATAACTCTATATACGGACACCTCTGTAAAGTGGACACTTGGTTCTGTCCCTTTGGTTTCCGTATTGAAGAGGTTTGACTGTAAATTATAAAATCTGAAGTACAATTTCACAATCTGTAAGTATATGGATGTTAAATAAAATAGATATTTTTGTTTCAATTTTTAAACCAGGACTGAGCAGTTATATTGGTTTTACCAGATGTACATAATTTACATTCCATTTACTTACATTGCTGACAGCATTATGTCATGTGCCATTTCCATATTTGTAGTTATGCAGAAATGTTATTTTACATCAAAACATTACGAGTAGTTAAAAGTGTACATAACTCATATATTACAATCAAATCGCACTTTACGGACACCCACTTAATACAGACACCTCATTATTATGGACAGTTAGCTATGTCTGTGGGAAGAAAAAGCTCTCATATTTTCTCTTAATCCAACAAGCTTGATGTGGACAATTTTCATGGCCCCTCAGTGTCCGTATTAACAGGGTTTGACTGTACTATATTCACACAACAAAAAATATTGTATTCATATCTTTAATATGGAAGGAAATGCTATTGGCATTAGAAAGGTTCATTTTTAAATAATATTTCTGGCCCCAGTTGTTCAAAAGCTGGATAGAACTATTCACCAGATAAACTCTATCTTGCGGATAACTATTAGGGAAACCAATTGCTTTATCCCTTGGAGAGTGATTTATCTATCACATAGTGCTATCCACCCTGTGAACAACTGAAACCTGCTCCATAGATCAACACAAAAGAAATAAAGGACAAGCCTAAATTAATATAAATTTCTTCTTAATCCATTGCTATTAATCAGCTGAAAAACAGTAATCTTCAAGTGCAGTCAAGGCTGCCAAGGGTAAATCATAATGTCCTGATTGTTCATTAGAAACATCAGCAGAAATATCTTGTTGCCACAAAGAAAGGTTTTCGACGGCAACTTCAAAAAGCGAGTCATTCTGGAGCAAATTATCCCATTCCCCATTCCAAGTAGCAGAATGATCAAGTTCATTTGAGATGTCATCATCAAATGCTCAGTCATCAAAATCTTCCAAGTCCCCAAACATTTGACTCAGTGATTGGACTATAAACTGGGCATGCTTTAAGTCCCATATTTCCACTTTGTCCAGAACATCCTGAACAGAGAAGATGCTTTCACAATGCTTTAAAACTTGGCCAATTTGTCCTTCTGAAAACCCTAAGAGAAACTGATGATCGGTCAATATTTTTACTTGATCATTAGATTTTATTCAGCAAATCCATCACAAGGGACTTGTGATAGTTTCTAAGACACTTAAGAAGCATGTTCTTCTGATCCAGGGTCACAAGCCTCGTTGATACTGAAACATCGGATGAATCTTCATGTACACTACAGAGGAATCTTGTAAACTGTCCACAATCAGCTGATTGGCAGGCTCACTTTTTTTCACAGTTGTCACAACAAAAGTGCATTGGCGGAGGGTAACTCACCTCTGATGAGTTATCAAAATTTTTCAGCAGAGCCTTTCGCCGACATTCATCAGTTTTAACGTACTCTTTCATATCTTTTTCCACATGAGTCAGAAGAATAGAAGAGAATAGTATTATCTGCAGGCCTTTTTTTGCAAAGGCACACGAAATGTAAGCTTAGTGAGATGGATAAGTAAAACAATTGGCGCAGCAAATAAAAAAACAACAACAAACAAAAAAGACATAATCTTAACCACAACAGATTTCTAAAATACGCAAGTGTTTCTTACTTCAAACAAATAGAAAATAAAATAAAATAATATCTATTATCTGCATGGAAAATATACTAAACTCCTTACCACTGTTTAATGACATGAGCCTCATCAACCGCGATGGCACACAATTTGGCTGCGTAAATGCCACTCAACAACATTTTTCGTCAGCATTCGTTGTTTAACGAAGCCTCTGGTGTTCCATATGCAACCACAAAATGGCCCACTTCAACATCTTTGGCCTCTTCATCTTTAACATTGCTAAGGCTTATTGCAGTTATGCCGAGCTTCTTTAGGTTTTCCACTTGGTCTTTCATTAGATTGCCCAAGGGAGAAATGACAACAACATGGCCCGTACTGTTACGAGTGATGTTGAAAACAATTGGCAAAGCTTGGTAAATTAGCGATTTACCGAACCATGTCGGTAGGTTAATGAAAACATCCTTCTTTTAATGCACCTATCAATGTAATGCCGGCGGGGGCGGGGGGGGAGGCAGGGCATAGGGTGGGGATTTGACTTTTTTCAAAAATTTTCAATCAGATTCCCTGCCCACGGGCAAATCATTCCAGTCAAATGCAACCAAATTTCCCCACCCCGGGCTGCACATTGCTGTCAATCCAAAGGCAGAATCTAAGAAAGGCACAATAAAAATATCTCTAAATAAAACTCTGCAATCTTTTATAAACGTTGCTGCATCACCAAAGATACATGTTCCTGTTACAGCTGCAATTATACGTTTTAACCATAATCCGTGTTACACCGCGTAGAATACATAAACCTTCAGGAGAAAGTCCACATTTTGTAAGTTTAAATATACTGTTCTTAGTAAAGGGTACAAAGAAAGTCAGTTTTATCAGTTTACAGTGAATGTAGCGAATAAACCATACACTGATCAATTGTACTTGCAAAAATGGACTTGGTTTCTCTTTACTTCCGTTTACTTTGATACCACAGTATTTTAAGAGGTTCAATTGACCACTAACACGCTAAAACAAACGAAATTTGAAGACAAAACAGTGAAATCCACTCAGCCTTCGCTTGTTCTCATTGGCCTCCATGATTTCCTGATCTTTTCAAACCGTACGGCGCATGCGTGAAGCGTGAAAGCCGGAAACATATGTTCGGTCTCAGTCTTTTTCGTCCGAGTCGGCAGTCAAATATCTTGACGTCGGGCGAAGAAAGATTCAAATATCCCCTCCCCTGGGAGAACAAGATCAGTCAAATGCCCTATCCCAGGGCCAACAAAGACAATCAAATCCCCACCCCCTCCCCCCCCCCCCCCGCCGGCTTTACATTTATAGGTGCATAATCCACAAAGTACGCTATAGCCTCTTGCTGATGAGCATTTAAGTTGACTATTTTGAACGTTTCACACACTCGTTTAAAGGCCACGCTAGCATTCACCATGTTTGTCTCCGATATCTCGCGCTACAATCACTCCGGGTCCAAAGTGCACTTCCCAGATCTGGGAGTCTGCTGTGATTGGTCTACGTTTTTTCCTGCTCAGATCAGCAGACGTTCGTGGGGAAGGAATGCATGACGCACGCCTAAGAATGTCTGCAGGGGAGGCTAGCCATGCCTATGATAATGGTGAAATCCCACCGCCCATTCATTCAAGCAAACGAAAAAGGAAATATATTTCAGCCTCATCCTTCAGCTTCCTGAGGGCGTTGATCCCTCAGAAAGCTGAGGATCTGGTCAAATAAGGGACATTTTGGCGAGATGGAGGACAATGGGGGAGAGACCAGACTGACAAGCACAAAGGTTGCAGAAGAAAATCTAGAGAAACAAAAGATTAGTTGATAATGATAAATGCCCCTTTCCATCAGAACTTTATGTAGAATACAAATTGTTTTATTCCTAGACTCTCACTCGACTAAACAAGGACTGACATTGGTTGATTCATGGTCACATGGGCTTGTCTAAAATCAAATGTAACTTGACTGTGATACATTTGAGCAATTGTACCCCGCTCGGGATGAATTACCGCACATGATCAAAGCATGGTAGAAAGTGGTGTGGTTGACAGTGGGAAAATTAATCGTTCAGTTTTAACTTTCATGAATGAATGCAGCAAAACAAAATATGGATGGAGCCTGAACCTATTAGGAAACTATTCAAGCAGCTCATAAATGAAGAGATACAGGGCTGGTTCAGGGGCAGAACTAGGGGGAGGGTGCACCCCCCTAAGTTGACCTACGGCTTGAAAGTTGTAATGAAACTGATGAAGTTTGGTATTGTAATGCTCCTCTCGGAAAAAAAATACGCTAGCTACGTTCATGAGTTCCATTTCCGAAGAAATGCAATTGTCTCATCAGTAGAAAACAGTCTGAACAAGAATTAAAACTAAAAGAAAGAAAAAGAGAACAGAAAAACAAAAGACCACAATGGAAGCCAAACGGGTGGCTGCCCAGCTCCAACTTATGGCCAAGCAGCTTGACCGTCTGGCCGGCCACGTCCTTTCAGAAGTGAAGAAGTGAAGAATGAATAATTTCAGACATTCAAGTTTTATTTCAGACATTCAAGTAAAAATTAATGTATTGCAAAATTATTTGTCTTGATTTAACTACAGCAGTGTATAATTTTAAACAGTCAAGTATAAGTTATTTAGTGCAAAATTATTTGTCATCATGTTTTCACTACAGCAAAAAAAAATTGTCCATGTAAAGATTCGTATATTTTATCTGAAAGATATATTTCGCACATCTTATAAGACCAATATGCGCTATTTCCACAATGGTCTTCCAATCGCAGTTTCCAGTCTCTCCATGACCTAGTATTGTTTACAGCCCTCTGAATCTTACAATGTCAATGGTAATTTCCCAACGCAGTAGCATGTAAAATTAACTATCACTCGCTAAAATTGTCTGATGAGGGTGGTCGCCTTTAGACCATAGGAAACAGAGCTGTAGCAAAAAAGCTATGCATGGAACTATCTTTCAATCGCATTATTCATTGCTTCTGAAAAGTTGAGCACTCTAGAAAATATCGAAAAAAGAGAACACTTGCACTGCATAGAACAATGCAACAACAACTCACATTTCACTTTATTTAATGTAAAAATCATTATTTAAAATAAGGAATAATTTAAGGAATCTGTGTTTTCTTGTCCTTTTACAGTAATATGCAAATGTTAAAAAGGGTGCATCAATAATAATAAAAGCTTGACAGAGCAGAAAATTTTACGAGGAAAGGAAAAATCCAAGTGCCATCAAAATCTTACCCTGCGAGTAGGGCCTCCTTTTGTCAGTGCACCAAGGACAATCAGATCAAGTTCTGCGGAAGATAGTTCAATGCACTGCATTCGGTGATCAACCACTTCATCAAAATCTAAAGATTTGGTGCAGGAGCTTTGATTTCTTCCGTAACGACAATCACATCGATGCTCAAAAAATGATTTTATTGGGGTAGTAAAATCGTCAAAATTCTCATCGTGATCAAGAGTCGTATCGTCCTTGTTGCGCTGAGGTGTACAATCTGCAGAATCCGATGCACTCTCAGTAGAATACAAAGCAGCCGTGACTGCTGCTAAGTAGTCACTGCAAACTTGAGCTAATTCGTGATGTAGGTAGTCGTGTCCTTCCAAGCCACAGTCTTCGAAAAAATTGATATCCACCTCGTGTTCTAGCCTTAGTTAAACGAATTTAACAAAGGGTAAATGGCTCAGCCTGGACTTGACTTAAGCATGTACGCTTGAGGATTCTATAAGCACAGACCAGGCAGAAGAGTCATAGAAAAGGGAGTTGACAATTTAAGTCCAAAGATCACTGGTTTTTTTTAAGGCAAGGACATATGTTTGTGACTTAATAGATGTTTGCATGTAGCTAAGCATACTGAGTCTTTCATGATCTTGATATTGCATGTACAAGCGGTCTTGCTAATAGTAGTAATTGACCCATTTAGCAATTTAGACAATGACAATGACAATGCTTTATTTATTTGGAGTCTTATACAGTCCTATGTACATCAACTTTATCCAAATTATGTAAAATCATAACCCAAATTGCACACTAGTGGAACTATAATCAATGTTAACCTAAAGAACTAAGGATCTTCTTTTCTCATACCACTCGAATACGTATTTTGCAATTAACTTTTGCACTGGTTTGTTCTTGCTCGGAGGGTTTATTAACAACATGCACACACAACGTCAACAAAGTGAACCTTGCGTTCGTGACTTTAACAGATGTTTGCGTGTAGCGCAGAGACATGTTAGCCAGTAGTTGACTGTCTTGACGTTGCATGTACACGGCACATGAGTCGATTTTTTCCATTTTCACGCGGTTTGCTGATAGAAATAATCAAATCATGTGGCATGTCCATCAACAAAGTGGAACACAAGTTGATCGCCTAGACACGAGCAAACATCTCTCTCGCAAACATAAGTTGTAGCAAATCATTAAACTGTAGAATTAACCTCTGACTATAAATGCACAATTTCCCATTGAACGTGCTAGGAGTTTTTGAAAAAACTGCTTTTTGCTTGATTATAAATCAACCCTCGATTTATTTTCCAAATCACATATGTGACAAACTGATTTTATATGAGTGGCATTCAACACAGCATGTCTAGCAGTACAATTTTCAATATTAACAGAATGTTATTATAGTTTCATCGAGCTGCCATCACCAGCTTCTTTAGCTGATAGAACAGTCGATAAAGATGACCTGCCACATGAGCAATAAAAGCAACGCTGAGGCAATGCTTGCTGAGAAACAATTCCTTCGGGCAAGCCACAGAGTGGGAATGCCTATTTCCCCTATATCAGGATACAGGTCTAAAAGACAGGCAATTTCTTGGCTGCTTAGTTTGACTCCCTTCACACACATTGCAAATATGCCATGTTTACCAATGGCACAAAGTATAGCCGCAATACCGACGACACAATCTCCCATCCCAAGGAAACGTAGTGAAGGTAATGATGCCTTTTCTATTGCTAAATCAGTCAAAAACACTTGGCGACATTTAAAATGCCCAATTTGGGAAGTTTTCCTGCGATAAAAACAAACAAACAGTCATTTATGGTAGCCTGGCTTAAGTTTAGTTCCATAATTTTCACCGCTTGAATGAGTGGATATTCAGATATTTTGCCTTCAATTCTAGCCATGTTCAAGATTTTCAGTTCACCACAGTTATGTGCTATTTCACGAAACATTTCCCACGTTGCTTTGCCTCCACTTAGTATCTATACTGTGAAATAGACTTGGCCTCCATTGTACTGCTTGAAGGAAGTAATTCAAGGTCTCTGTTGATGAACCTCTGGCATTAGTTTCCAAAAATTCTTCATCTCTTGCTTTTGTCATACGCAATTTGGTGCCAAGCTTTGCACACGAATGAAGCTGTTGTCAAGACAAATTTATACGGCAAGTAAGAGAACATTAGAAGCGCGATGTTTTGCGGCAAAACTTCCATTCTAATGTATGTTTTACATTTGAACACATTTGCAGACGGACACATACCAGCATTTCGAGAGAAGTTACGGAAGAGTTTGTCTTAGGTAAATGTTGTCAGTCTTTTGAGTGGGGTTTGAGTGGCACCACACGCGAAAAAAAAGGAAAAATATTTGATCGTTTCATAATGCCGAAGGATGAATAAGGAAACCTTTAGAAAAATACTAGCCAATTAATAAGCAAACGCTTTCTTGTCGATGTAAAGTTGCAAATGGAGACACATTTGGTTCTTTTTAATTGTTCGTGACCTGCAATACCCACAAAATCTTATCGTTCAAAAATCACAAAAATTAATTAGGTGAACGGAAACAGGCAACTTTGCGTGTTTCAGAGGGGATAAAATAATACTGATTTAGTAAAAGCGAACTTCAGTTAGTGAAATTTCTAGACTGCCGGAGACTTTTAATTCACAAGACGTCGCAGAAAGTTGTTTAAGTGGAAGACCAAAGATAAGTGGAATAATTGCGAGCAAAGAGTCTGTCGAAAGAGTATCAAATCCTTCAATGTTGCGTAAACAAAGGGTCAATCCGTTAAAGTCCTCTTCAACAGACATTGGTTTAACCGGCAAGTCTGCGAAGCCTGGCGCACTGCATCGGAGGAAAGGCCAGAGATGTCCAAAGGTAGCGTCTCACAATAATCATATTCTATACATTCTCGTAGGGAAAGATTACTGTTTTGTCGAAAGTTCTTTCTTCTCAAGTGAAAGGGGCGAGTAAATAATTTGAGTTGTGTCTGGCATGAAATTTTAGCGAGAGGTTAATTTTCTATATCACACGTTTCTGCAGTTTCGAGAGAAAAAATTTTCGGGAGTAATATAATACCACAATTCAAACTTAAGTGCTGGGAATGAAGTTGTTCGGCAAATACTCTCTTTGTATAGTAAAATTAAAGTTAGTGGTAGATCTCGAAGACTCTGGAGATGTAAAGAAACGCAAAGTTGCGGTCAGCTATACTTTAAAGTACGATTCTGCGATGAAAAAAAGGGATTTTTTGGTGGTTTCTTTTTTCTGCGAAGCTATTTTTAGTTGATTTTTACAAGATTTGCGTATAATAGATGTTCCATATGCCATTTCATGACTTGTGACAATTCTTAGTGGCACATGATGACTGAAAATTAATTCTTGCTGTTTATGTATGATGAGAGACCATAAATACAATATCCCCCCCATTTTTTTCCACTAATACGGAGATGTTTGCTATTCTCAGTAATCAATGTGAATAAGATGAATTTCTGAAAAATTAATGCCAGGTAGCGGTATCTTGACTATCTGAAGCCCCATATTAACAATCATGTGTCATACATTTTTCAAACTGACAGCGAAAAAACGGAGTCCACGGCAAGAAAACAGCGACTCTTCCACTAAGGACGACATGCTACCGTCTAAGTACCAGGTACATAAACCGTCAGTAGGGGAGAAACTTCCAAATGTGGCCGAAACACAATTTCTAGCCCAGTACATAGAAAAATGAAACGCGGAGCTAAAAAATCGAAACAGTACGGACAGCAAAACGAGCAGTGACATTCAACGTGTGCGACAGGTGAGAGAAATGCCAAAAGCCAAAACCGAACCAGAAGACCACAACGCAACAGGCCGTGACGAAGAAAAAACAGCATAAATTGCTCAGCTTCAGGCTGAAAAGAAGAAAAGAGAAGTCCTAAGCGCAGAGAAGATTATCGTAGAAACAAAACACTGCACACTTCAGAAAATGCTGGAGATTGGGAGACAAAAAATGTTTTCGCTGGAGGATAAGAAGCGAGAGTTGGCAGAAGCACTTGAGGCCGCAAAGAGTGAATATGGAACGTTGCAAGCCATGCATGGACGGGTATGAATTGTTTTAAAATAATATTTCTCATACGATAGACATGATACATTACTGATTTATTAGCCTCTAACGAAGAGCAAGAAATTGATTAGGAAAGACACTTCTACCCAACAGTCGTTCTCATGTTGATTATATATAATCACCACCACGAGGACAAGATATTCCTTAAAGAGGAGTACCTTTTCACAGTGGCCAGACAGATATGTTAGTCTCGGTCTTCAGGAGTTTGACACTACTTTGTACTAAACGATCAAAATTGCGATGAGATGCAATAATATTTATTTCAGATCGCTGTAGAATTTACACAGTCATGCAAAAGCAGGTTCTTTACATGTCATTCACCACTAACACGTGTTCTTTCTGTTGATTTCTCTCTTTCTTTTTCTAGAACGTGGGGTCCAAGAATTCAACTGATATTTCCACTATTATGAATAACATCACCATTTCTCTATCGAGTATAGAAAATCAATTGCTGTTATTTGATGGAAGACTTACCTCGATAGAGACATGCCTATGCAATATGTATCACGTCGCAGCTACTCAAAACCCTTCCTTTGAGACCTCCTTAGATACATCAACCACTTTTTCTGTTAGTGAATTTCCCACAGACACCAATGTTAGCTCACCTACCGAGGCCTTTCCTGTTATTCAATTTCCCAAAGACACCAACCTTAGCTTAATACCTGCTGGAGAGGTTGTAGTCAGCGGTCCCCGAAACAAAATTCAAACCCCACCAAACACCAAACGCACGGCCACAACTACCCCCATTTCTCCACTAGTGTTTAGGCTACCACAGGAAACAGCGACAAATTTAAAGCCCATGTGAAAAAAGCATGAAAAATGCCTTAAATGCCAAGTGCAGAGAAGGGCAGCAATTCCAGTGATGTGGCCAAATAGTTTGTTAAAAATTTTAAAAGAACACGATGAGTCTCTGACTAATTCAAACATTGTTATAAGTTACAGCAAGGAGCCCTAAAGTGTGACCGCTTTTGATTATTTCACATTCTTTCGTGCAAATTTAATCCAATCAGAAGCCAGCTGGAAACTGTCCTCGACTTCTGATTGGTTAATGTCTGCATGGAAGTCACACTTTTGGGCTCCTTGCTCCTGGCTCGCATTTTATACACACTCAACTCTGAACGTGCAGATTAACGTTGTCAAGCAAGCGTGCAATGTGATCGTCGCTTTTAATCTCTAAAATCTTCTGCTTGCGATCGTCGCAACTTCAATTTCGTCGGAATTACTGATATTGAGGCTCAACAATAAAAGAATCAAACTTTCTCAGAGTTGCTTTGTGTATTAACCAAGAACCGTGAAACCAGTGTGAAATAAAAGTGCATTACAGGACAAAAACAAGAAGGGAGTGCGTTGCGACGAGAAGTACTATTTTTCTCACCTTTGGTCTCGCTCTCTCCCAATTTTTTTCTCTTGCATCTTTTCCCCGAGGGATTTTGGAGCCCGAACGGATTAATTTTGAAACGGATATGAGAATTAACCGACTGCAAGCAGTCTAGCATGCCGCTGACAGAGGTAGAAAAGGGCAAAATAACTGGCAACCCCAAAATACTGTCAGCCAGCTACGTACAAAAAAAACACGACCTCAACAGTCAGCCTTACAGTTTAAAGAAACTTCTCAAAAACTTCTCTCCTTTATTTTCAGATTTGAAAGTCCAATAAAGTAATGTCGTGCTTTACTCAATAACCTCTTGACATGTAACAACCTGAAACAACATCAAACACACGCAATGTGACAATGATCAAAGTTCTATGCAAATTTATTTGAACCGATTGAGAACAAAAAGTAAAAGCCTTTGTTTTCCACTGGGAATTCATGTCGTTATTCCTGTTGATATTACTGTTGTATGGAGGTATCATTACCGTTCCTGAAAAAAAGTTGTATTTTCAAAGAACGTTCTCAAGCGTATGAATGTCTAATCATCAGTGGCTTCAATCAATGATAATTTTTCGCATCCTGGGTTGCACTTCAGGAACTAATTTTATCGATTAAAAAAACGTTTTGGAGCATTGCCAATGCTTTGAACAACGTGGGAAAAACATTCTTAAACATTGGGAAAACATTTTAAAACGTTGAAAACAATTGCCTGCGTTTGAAGGAAAACATTGTAAATGCGTTGAGAATCATTGGAATCTGTTGCAATGCATTGTAACGCATTCAAAATGTGTTGAAATGCTTTTCAACACAAATTTCATTAAGCCCGGTTTTCCCAAATAGGGTCACAATAATTGTAATTTTCTCTTTCAAGTGTTTCATCCACATTTTTGTCTGGGTTTTCTTTAGTTTTGAAAGAACGTTATAGTGATATCTAGTAGCAGTAGACCTCTGCAAGTTCATTTGAGCTTATTCTAGGAAGATTCCTTGTTTGCACGTGCAAGTTCTGTTGCACATGTCTCTCAAATGATTTTTTTATATTTACTGCTGTCTCAGTTTCCTGATTTATTCTCTCTAGGATGGTGCATGCATTCACTTGCATGGGTCTAACTGAGACCCAATACCGCAGTTTCAGTAAGGCAGCTGGGATGGGTTCTGTCATGGACAAGACTGTTGATACAAGTGTGTGGTTACCATTGTTTTTTTTTTTTTTAAACCAAGTTATGTACTCGAGAATTTCGATGTGTTGCTTTTCGCATTTCTTGTGCAGTTGAAAGAAAGCCATTTCCAGATATCTTGATTTAACAGAATAACATGGAATAGATTGACCTACACATGAATGTCTTATTACACTCCGTAGTTTACAAGGATAGTGGTTTTGGCTACATTGGAATAGTGCGTGATCTGGCCAAAAAGTCTATGGAAGATGCAAGAAGGGAAGTGGAAGTAACCGCATATTATACTGCAAATGGGGATGTAAGTAAACTTACCCATAGAAATCAAAGAGATAACAACACAGCTTAATAGTTAGCGTTGTTAATAATAGTAGCATATTTTTCCAACCAAGGTGTGTACATCACAGTTGCATATTAGCAGTTTTATCTCACGTATTTTAATTTTTAGTCTTCTTATTCGTGAATTTGTTTTCAGTGTATCATCACCAATGCTAGACATGACTCTAGTCGGGCAGCGATGCATTGCACTGTTTCAGCCATTTCCATGAGGTATACGTATGGTGAGGATTCTCCTTTTATGCCTTTTTTTCTGTAAAAAAGCTGTGGACTATGCTGCTTTTGAATCGTGTTGTGGTCATTATATTTTCATGACCAAGTAAAAAAAAATGAAAATAAACAGTATTTTCTTTTTTATGTCCAGCAACAAGAAAATAATTTCTGTTTGCAACCGGAGCAGGGCTGATGAAAGGAGTGCGCCATCCAGGGAAGTTCCTATGACAAAGGAAATGATAACAAACCTCACAGGAGTTCTAGGTACGTGTAAATGATTATCAAAAGACTCTGTTGATTGTCCAAGGAAATGAAAAGTTATCTGTTCATTATTATTATTATTATTATTATTAATATTATTATTATTATTATTATTCTCATAGCTCACAATGTGACTGAGGTGGCCCATAATTGTGTTGTTGCACTCAAAAATTGATTTGAGGGAAGAGGCCTAAAAAATTCTTTTGATACTTGGCATGGTAAGTTTCAAATGTTTCAAATGTTTTTAGATTTTGAAAAACCTTTTGACACGATAGAATGGCCTTTCATTAGGAAAACCTTTCAACATTTTGGTTTTGGTAGTAGCATCTTAAAATGGCTAAACCTTTTCTATTGCTGCCCAGAAAGCTGCGTTTTGAATAATGGTTGGGCGAGCGATTTTTTGGAAATCCAAAAAGGTGTAAGGCAAGGCTGTCCCCTTTCACCTTATCTGTTTGTTCTGGCAGTAGAAGTTTTAGCTAAGGCAATTCGTGAAAATAAAAGTATTAAAGGGATCTTTGTAAACGGTAAAGAAATAAAACTAAGTCAGTATGCAGATGATACAACTCTTATACTAGATGGAACAAAGGAATCGTTAATAGCCTCTCTCAAAACACTGGACGATTTCTATGAAGTCTCTGGCTTAAAACTTAATGACAAAAAAACAGAAGCCTTTTGGATTGGGGCAAATTGTAACAAAGATAAAATATCAATTCTCGGAAGAAACTTAAACGAGCTGAGAGGCAACCAGACTTTTTAGGACCGTTATCTTTCCAACTAGGGTAAGTCTACGGTATTTCCAGCAGCTCAAAACATTCCGGACCTTATCTAGTTTTTCATTGTAATTTAAAGTTGCAGTTGCTTCCGGATCATTTGAAAACCAGACACCTAAAGCTTTAACTTTACACTTCGGCCATTTAAAGTTTCTAGATAAGGTCCGGAATGTTTTGAGCTGCTGGAAATACCGTAGACTTACCCTAGTTGGAAAGATAACGGTCCTAAAAAGTCTGGTTGCCTCTCAGCTCGTTTATGTGCTCTCACCTTTACATACAAATGTGAAAATTATCAAAGAAGTAAACAAGTTATTTTTTTCATTCCTCTGGAATGGAAAAGGAGATAAAATCAAACGAGACATTATGACAAACGATTATGCTAATGGAGGACTTAAAATGATAGACATACAGTCTTTTAACAAGTCCCTGAAAGCTACATGGATTAAAAAATATCTGGATGAAGAGAATCAGGGAAAATGGAAATATTTTTTTGATATAGAGTTAGAGCGATTTGGAGGCACAATAGTCCTCACTAGTAACTTAAACAAGAAAGATACCATTGAGAATCTCAAGATTAAGAATAACTTTATAAAAGAGATACTTTCAATCTGGGCGGAAGTCAATTTTGATGAAAACATAACGTCCAAGAAACAATTTCTTGAACAAACTTTATGGCACAACTCACTCATTAGAATCGATAACTGTCCCGTCTTCTATCGTGAATGGTTTGATCGAGGCGTTACGAAAGTGAAACATTTGAAAGATGAACATAAATTTTTATCACTAGCTGAGCTGCAGCAAAAATACAGCCTCAAAGTTTGTCTTTTAAAGTATTTTGGACTAGTGTCTGCTCTAAAATCTCTTTGGACTACATGTAAAACAAACTGTATCAAAAACTGCAACAATTATGAAACCTTTGTAGTAAGATTAACAGAATGCCAAAGTGCGAGCAAACTTATATACACCAAGTTGCTTTCTACCAAATGCAAGTTACCATCCCATAATCAACAGAAATGGCTAAAATACTGCAACGAAAATGATGTGGAGGCGATTAATTGGCGGGAAGCCTACCAGTTGGCCGCTAAATATACTAAAAGTACAAGAACTATTGAATTCCAATATAAATTTTTACATAGACGAATATCAACGAATGACTTCTTAACAAAAATTGGCGTAAAAGACAACCCAAATTGTTTTTTCTGTAATAATGAACCGGAGAAACTTCTTCATCTTTTTTGGTCTTGTCCTAAAGTGGCCTTTTTCTGGCATAGTTTATCTCTTAAGCTGACTTTGCTCCACATTACACCGGAACATTACACATTAGATATATTTGTTGTACTTGGTCTAAAGCCGGATTCTTCAAAAAACTGCCAGTAAATTAATTTCCTTTTCCTTCTAGCCAGAAATTATATCTGGATTATCAAAAGAAGGGAAACCTCACCAAAGATAGCAGGCTTCCTGCAATACCTCAAATCATTCTACCACATAGAGACCACTGCAGGTCCCATTTTACCAAAACAATGGGAAAATGTGAGCTCCTTATTTCAGTAAGCCTTTGATTTTGTATACATTTGTATATCTCGATCCTCTGCTCATTTTCTCCAGCATTAACCTGGTGTATCTTTTGCTTCACAATTGCTGCCTCTTTAAGACACTTAAGATATAAGTGCGTTTACCGTGATAAGATATAAGTGCGTTTACCGTGAATGTTGGTTTTGAAGTACAATTACTAATTAGAACTGCTTGTAAGTAGTGCATTGTAGTGTGAGTAGTGAGTAGGTAGTGTTGTAAGTACTGAGTATTGCAAATCTTTACATCGTAAACAGAGTAAGTACCTTAGTCTATTGTATTCTAAATATTGTATTGTAAGTAGTGTAAGTATCGTAGTGTTTTTAAGTATTTTTGATTGTTGATTGTTGACTGAATAAATGTTATTAAAAAAAAAGTTTCAAATGGATAAATCATTAATGTGTGTATTGAGAAATATATCATAAATCCTCCATTAGGCCCTCTAGGTGGGGTGCTTATTAACGTTTTTTTAATTCCAAGAAAGATGTGTCCAATAGCCCGGGGCTAAACCCACTTTCTTTGCACCCTGGGTTCAGTCTGCATGAAGTGTTACAGTTATAAAATGAAGTGCACCATTTATGCATTTCATTGTAAAGAATAACAAGGGGCAGTGAAGGGGAGAAGGGCTTATTAGAGAGGGAGTGCTTGAAGATTATATTGAAGATTTATTATAACATTATACAACTACATGATAATATTTTAATTATTAGTATTGTGTGTATTGATAGGTACAAAAGGAGTTGCCCGTGATATGAAAAAAATATGTAGTGAAGCTCGGCGTGATGAGGGTATCAAATGGTTTACGGAGCTCTTTGACAAAGGTAAGACAATGAAATATGAAATTAACAGAATGTGTGAATAAAGAATTGAATATTTTTTGGCGGAAATAATGATAAGTACATGTTACTTGACAGCCAAATCCACAAAGACGCATTTCTATTGGGCCATGCATAATAATGACGGCACTGAAGCTGGTTTTCAGCAGTACTTACTCAATGTTGTGGATCACTACCAGGTAAACTTCATGTATACTTACATTATTCGGCATCACAGTTTTTTCTCCTGCTAGTGCAGATTGATCTATATCTCCAAATTAGTCTTTCTTGCACATTTAGTCACAGCAGGTAGCATGTTAAAGAACAACCTTATATCTAACTCTTGTCCTGATGATGCCTGCAAACTCTTATTGTATTGGTGATGTCAATATTAATCACGTTGCCCACAGGGAAAGCATGATCTTTGCCACCAAACTTCAAGGTGAAAGGAAGACGGGTATGTTTGCAGTAAGAAGGTGACAGACCCAAAAGCTGCAGAAGCTTACAGGGCTGCCATCATCAAAACTACCATCTATAAAAATCCATCTGACTATCTCCTTGTAAATTTACAGTATTACTTTTCATTGAACATATATATTAAGTGCATGAGGTAACAACGTTTTAGATGTAGAGAATTGGTACACTCCCTATTGTTGAAAAAATTACACTCTTCTGAGGATTAATGCCATTAACTAAATTGCTTTCTTACTTGAATTCTAGAGCTTTGACAAGCTTTTCACCATTTCTTTTAGTGCCGGGACACATTTTACATTGAGTCTTTCCACATGGTGATGAAACCTACAAGATGAGGGTGCATCTTGCCATACTAGATTGGGTATGTTTTATTGCCTGCTTGTTTTGTAAGAACATCTGGGTAGGGGGCAGGGTTGAAGTAAAAGCACAAGAATATATAAATACATCTGGTTTTTCTTCAATGTCAGAATGAGAATGTTGGAAGAGATGTGTACTCGGTACAGTACTATCAGCACTCATGCCATCCTGGAAGAATGGCCCCGACAAGAGTTTTGAGAGCGAAGACTCTTCTATTTAGGGAAGCTACATGAAACTCATTGTTTAAAAAAAACCAAACATTATGGTGCGACATAATGTAATTTATCTCAACGTGTTGCACGCACGAGATATTCCGATGGGGTTGGCTTGTACCAGGCACGGATTCGATACTAGCATTAGTTTCGCTAATCAGGTTTAAGTAGGTCACATGCCTAGTATATTAAAGACAGCTCCAGCAAGATATTTTTCCTTCCTCCTCTCGCCATCAGATTGAACAGATCCCCAGAAAAACTTTTTCCAACAGTGCTCCTTTTCAATTTTTCAGGCAAGTGCTCATTAGTTTCATTTTTTTTATTTAGACATCAATTTTTTTATGGCACCACTATGAATTTTGATTCTCGGCCACTCCTTCATTCGCCGTCTACATGCTTTTCTTCGTCAAAATTTTAATGAGTATATTTGCCAGAAATTTGCATATCGATAGAGATCTTTCCAACAAATGACTTGGCATCGGGGAAGAACTATTTCTCAAGTGATCCAACATGATTTAGGAATAGTAGAGAAATATGCCCCAGAGACTGTCGTCATCCAGTTGGGTACCAATGATCTGTCTTCCCTTTCCGCCATTGAAACTGGCTCAGCTCTCGAGGACTTATCTCGTTTGCTACATGAGTCATATGGTGTGCAAAGGGTCTGTGTTTGCCAGACAAATTTCGCGGTAATGCTCCTTTATTCAATCGCCAGGTTAAGTTAGTAGCAAAATATCTTTAAGTAGTTTTGGAGCCGATTCCTTATGCTCTTTACTGGCGACACAGGGATTTTTGCAATTGAAAATCCCATTTTTTAACACGCGATGGTGTCCACTTTAATCACTTAGGGCAGTATAAATTTTTCCGTAGCTTGAGAGGGGCAGTGTTGCAATGTTTGCGATCTCTCCAGGCTAGCGGGTAAAGTAGCTTTATTGGCTCAATTTGATCCAATTGACATTTTGTCTAGTAATCCACTTGCAT